CACCTAAGGGGGTGTGGGTGGCCCCTTTGAACCTGATCCAGCTCTGCAGAAAGGAGAGCAGGACCGAGTCAAGCTTCGGCCTTGGCTTCGAAACCTGGCCGAATTTTAAAAATAACTTGATCCTGATGTAACTAAGGGACCCGATTTAACTAAGGGTTCCAGCACTGTTGAATGTCCTTGTTTTGAAAATCTCCTTTCCTGCACTAATGAAAACTCAGAAGCTCTATAAATAGGAGGGCATCAGAAAGACATTTATTTAGTTATTTCCTCAAACCTCGGGCTCACTCTCCTTTTGTTCTTCTTGCAGCAAACCAAGGACGAGCTGCACAGCATATTGTTGACTAGGTCCTTGCTGGAGGACTTTAAGGTGAGGGCCCGGGGGGCATGTGGGAGGCGAGCTTGCAGCGTGACTCAGAGAAGGGAGGCCCGGGAGCTGGGTCTGCTTCCTTTGCTTTGAAAAGGAGAAGTGGAAAGATCTTAACTCAGCACACAGCCAAAGGGCTGGCCCTGGGGGAGGTGGCTGGTTAAGAAAGGTCCCTGGGGACAGAGCTGTCCCCCTCAAGCCGGGGCAGCCGTGCTTCCTCCCAGTCACCGACCGCATGCCCACCCCCCCCCCCCACCCCTTAGGGTTACCTGGGTTGCCAAGCCTTGTCCGAGATGATCCAGTTTTACTTGGAGGAGGTGATGCCCCAGGCTGAGAATGAGGACCCAGACATCAAACAGCACGTGAACTCCCTGGGAGAAAAGCTGAAGACCCTCCGGCTGAGACTGCGGCGCTGTGTGAGTGTGGATCGGTTCTTCCCCTTGGGGCTCGGCGGCAGCCTCTTCCCACTCGCACCCGGAGAAGCAGAGACAGCCTGGCGGGAGGACTCTCCGAAGGCGCTAGAGTTCTGTCTCTTGCTCATTTCTTTCTGAGCGGGGAGTGGGGGAGGCTGCTAGGCATTTACATGTTTGCAAACAGCTTTCCTGTTATTTGTGAGTCATTTGTGGGTTATTAACTATTCCCCTCTCTCTTTACGAAAGGGGCCCAGAGCTTCAGTCTGGGCTCTCCCTTTTCCCTTTGGATCTAGACCCCGAGCCCAGCCAGATGGGCCAGGAAGCGAGAGTCCCTCGGAGAAGAAACTCCCTTTGCTTCTTACTCTCCACCTTTGGAAAGCAGAGCCCTTAAGCGAGGCCCAATTGACAGGAGTTTCCCTGGCATTTTAGAAGGCCCAGGGGACTCTGTTCTCTCACTGATAATTGGGGAACCAGTTGGTCTCTATTTGTAGGACGGAACCATGCGAAGGTTTGGGTCGGCATGACTAAGTCTCTGCATCTCTCTTCCTTGGAGGACTTAGAAATGGTCCTTGGTGGCTGGAACTGAAGAAGAGGGACAGGACAGGGAAGCAGGAAAGGACAGAATGGCTGGCTCAGCACTTGTCAGCACTGTGGTGTTCAAAGAGGAAGCACCAGGCTCCATCCCCTGGGTTTTCATGCAAGCTTTGCAAACATCTCAGAGAGGCTCCTGGAGAAGCACTTTTCATCTCCCTGGGCTGTTTCCTCTCTGTCTAGTGGGCCAGGGTGACGGAGGGCTCAGTTCTCCCCAGGCGCTGTGGGGGTTAGGTATCCAAGATGAGTCTGACTCTTTCTTCGTGCTTCCAGCTTGTCCCCCAAGTGCTGTGGACACAGGAGCTGGGAGCCCACGGCATTGACACTTTCTCTTTTCCTCCACAGCATCGATTTCTGCCCTGTGAAAACAAGAGCAAGGTGGTGGAGCAGGTGAAGAGTACCTTTAGTAAGGTAAGTGGATGGCAGCAGAAAGGGTTTGGGGAACGTGACCTCTACCCACTCCCCAAGTCGTCAGGTGCTGAGCAGGCCCCGTCCTTCTCTCAAAGGGGGTGTGGGAACCCCACAGATGGTGTGACCTCCCCAGCCAGTGAGGAGCTGCCGCCTTGGTTATATTTGTTTTCTGTGAAGTGTCTTTGGGGGTTTCTAAATGACTGCTCCCCGCCTTTGTAGGCGGGTTGAGGGTTGAGACAGCCAGCCAGCCTGTGAACACAGTGAGCTAGATGCTGGGGAGAGTGACAAAGGAAACAGAAAGTAGCTTGTTGGGAATCTAGACTCAAGCCACACGTGCAGGAAGCCAACACGTGAATGTGCACACACAAACACACCCAGGGGTTCAGCCTGGACTCCCCAAAACTCAGAGCAGGAAGTAGCATTCTCATCGACCTGGAGTTGGTCCATACTCACTTTCCAGGTGCCGTTCACACCTGCCAAAGTGCCTGAGAATGTCAGCTCTCAGATCGAGTGGGGTTTCACGCTTCCAACTGTCGGTGAACTCTTCAACCCCACTGCCCAGAAGCCATGTGGTCTTGTCCTCTTTGTGGGCTGGGGACAGACACTGGGCAGGGTTCTGGCATCAGGGGACATAAACCCCCTGATAATGGGCCAGAGGAGCAGGGCAGGGCCTGCTCCGTCCAATGGTGGGAGAGCATCAACATAAAAGGGCTCCCTTCCCTCTTCTTACTGTCTTGCTGTCCAAGTTGTTCCCCTAACGTCTTTTCTCCAAATTCTGAATAAGCGTCATGTGAGCACATGACCTTTAAAATTGTTGAAAAGGCATCATTTTGTAGACTGTGCCTTATGAAGTGAATGTTCCTCTTGTTACTTGCTAGTCATGTTTTAGGTAAACATGTAGCCTTTCCCAAGGCACTGGGAATAGCCTTGGGCTTCTAGGCTCCGTCCTTCACCTCCCAACGCATGGGAGCAAGGGTAACTCCTGGGTCCCTGAGTCATGCCCATCCAAACCAGGGACTCATTTGCTCACTCAGATGGGGCTTTCACTAAACATTTTCTATCTCCCTACACAGCTCCAAGAGAAAGGTGTCTACAAAGCCATGGGTGAGTTTGACATCTTCATCAACTACATAGAAGCTTACATGACAATGAAGATGAAAATCTGAAACACGGTGGGGAACGAAACATCCAGGATGCAACTCTTCTGGACTCTAGGACATAAATTGGAGATCTACAAAATCCTACTCAGGGATATGGGAGAACCAAACAGCTCCTTGGAGAACCCGGTCATACCTCTCTCTTAGAATATTTATTACTTCTGATACCTCAACTCCCATTTGTATTTATTTACTGAGCTTCTCTGTGAACTATTGAGAAAGAAGCCCAATATTATAATTTTTTTCAATATTTATTTTTTTTCACCTGTGTGTAAGCTGTTTATGTAGGGTGATACCCTATGATATTTGAGTATTTTAAGAGAAATTGTAACTTATATAAGGAAAAAAATGTTTCTTGGGGAGCCTATTGATGCTTCCATTCCAAGCCTGACCATACTTATAGCTGTTGAGCTATTGTTCCTGACTTCCCTATAATTTCTCTGGGCCTGGGGCTCCTAGAGTATTGTAAAGACTCTTACCCTCTTAGGAGGAGAAACTAGGGAGCCCCTTTGATAATTAATATTCCAGTGGCTCAGAGGGATTCCCTTGACCTCATTCCCCAACCTCTTCATTCTTGAAAGCTGTGTCCTGCTTGTTATTTTATAACAACCTAAAGTTGGTTCTAATAGAACTCAGTTTTAACTAGAAGCAATTCAATTCCTCTGGGAATGTTACATTGTTTGTCTGTCTTCATAGCAGATTTTAATTTTTAAGAAATAAATGAGTCTTATTAAAATTATGTTATGGCATCATTTGACTTCTGTTTGACTAAAATTATTCCCTCAATGTTTCCAAGATAGAAGAGCGTAGGGAAATGAATTCTGCATTTCAGGTAAAGAAAACCAACTACACTCTCCCAGAGAGGAGGCAAGTTCCAAATCTGATCAGAGGGGGAAAAAAGTTTCACTTCAAAAGGCAATAGCAAAGACCACCACAGTTTTCCTACAAACTCAATCCTTTGAGAAATTATCCTTAAATTCTTAAAGATCATGTTGATTTTCAAGGCTAAGGATAAAGTTCTGTAGATACCAAAATCAGAAAGACTGGCAGAGGACTTTTTTCTGTTTTGTTTTTGTTTTCTGGGGTCTTGTTTTGTTTTGGTTTGGGTTTTTGTTCTGTTTTGTTTTGGCTTCTTCAAGCCCCAAAGGTCTGGGTGAATACTAATTGACCAGGGCTGTTGAGAAAATTAAGATAAAGAGCTCACATGGCTCCTAGGGCTAAGAGATGGTCCCTATACACGTTTGATTGTTGGTACTCACAACTAAAAACCCCTACCAAATCCTCCTTGAGCTGAGATCAGAGGCCCACCCAACCGAGTAGAATATAAACAGATTAGCCCACTTGATAGAATACCCAAGGATTCAAGCGGCTGCAGTCCCTTCTCTTCCCTCCTTAAGCTACCAGACAAATGTGAGGTTGGCTTTTGACTGCGGTCTATTGGGAGGGGTGTGGTGGCTGGGGAAGCCCTACTCAAGGCCCCGTGACTTGGAGGAGAGGGAGGGAAACAATGGTCTGAGTAAACACTGATCACCCTCACACTCTGCCCAGGCGGCCCTGGTCCGGGGGAGGATAGGGGCCAACTGGCTGTGGTCAGTTTTTCAGTAAGACCTGACTCACTTTAGTTAAAGTAACCATAGGAAGGAAGTGGGAAGCATCAAAGCTGAAATTCTGAGATGAAAGGTTAAGAATGGAGGCCAGCTGAAGACCAGGAGAGAGGAATAAGGCTCTCTACAGCAGGGCTCTCTGTACTAAGATGGAGAAACTGAAGTTTAGGCTGTTAGGGCCCTCTGCTAGGCAATGCATACTAACTTAAGGTTGAGGTTCACACCTCATGTGAGGGAAGTGGGCATCTGAAACCAAGAGACAGAAACTCACCTAAAGAAGCCACATGGCTGATAAGATGTTGACAACAGCCACAATTAATTGAGCGCTTTTTTTTTTTTTTTTTTTGAGCTAGTTGTTGCTAGGTATATATGTATCAGGCATGCTATGGGGTATTATTATTGCTATCTTCTGTAAGAGGAAACAGATGTTCAGAAATGTTGGTGTGCCTTGGCCGCATAGATTATACGGAGAACGGAGAACTGAGAATAGCGTCAAATGCTTTTCCCTTCGTGTTAATTATCTATCGATGCCTCCAAAATTTAGCAGCTTAGAGCAGCACACATTTTTTGTTTTTTCCTGTAGGTCGGGAATCTCAGAATGACAACTAGGGGTTTTGGTTCAGGGTCTCTAATGCGGTTGCAGTCAAAATAACATCCAAGGCTGCAGTCATCTGAAGCTTGGCTGGGGTTGGACAAAACACATCCAAGATGACGCACTTACATGGCACGAGGACTTAGTTCCTCACTGGCGACTGGCAGGTGGCCTTGGTTCCTTGCTACGTGGTCCTTTCTGTGGGGCTTCTTTGGTGTCTCCACAACACAACACAACAGCTGTCTTCCCCAGAGCCAGTGATCTGAGAGAGAGCAAGGAGGAAGTCATGGTGTCCTTTCGACCTAATCTCAGAAATCTCACACCACACTGCTGGCACGTTCTGTTCCTTAGAAGTGAGTTGGCAAGTATAGCCCATATTGAAGGGGAGATAAATTAGATTCCACATTTTGAAGGGAGGCGTCTCAAAGAATTTGTGGACGTCTTTTTAAACTACCACATCTTTCTAAGAATTTAGAAAACATAGCTCTGTGCTCGAATGGCACATCAGGCTCCTGGGTTGGGAGTGGGGGTAAGGGGAAGAGTCGGGTAAGCATCTCACCATGGAGAGGGCATCATCATGGACATAGCCCTCCTCCAGTCCTCTCTCGTGGGCTCAGTCTAATATGTTTACCTCTTTGAGCCTTAGTTTCTCACCTGGAAAACTAGCAGAAACTTTCTTCCCAAGTGTTATCTACCGAATGTTTGTGTTCCTCCAAAATTCCTATATTGAAGCCCCAACCCCCAGTGTGATGATATTTGGAGATGAAGCTTATGGGAGATAATTTTGTTGAAGGAAGGTGGAGCCATCCTCCTATAAGTGCCCTTATAAAAAGAGACACCAAAGACCTTGCTGTCTCCATCTCCCTCTATCTCTCTCCATCTCTCTTTCTTCACATGTGCCCAATAAAAATATCCTATTGAGCACAAATAGAAAGATGACAGTGGCTACAAGCCAGGAGAAGAGGTCTCAGAATGAAACCTACCATGTTGGCACCTTGATCTCGGACTTCCAGCCTCCAGAACCGTGAGAAATAATTTTGTTCGTTTGTTTAAGTCGTGCGGTTTACGGTATTGTGTTATGGTAGCCTGAGCTGGCTAATGGACCAGACTTGATATAAGGGTCCAATAGAATGTCAGGTATGAAGGTACATATGTCGTATAGATTGGAAACCTAGAGATGAGAAGATGCGGTTTAGATGATCGGGATTTTTTTTTTTTTTTTTTTTTTTTTTTTTTTTTTTTTTTTTTTTTTGCAACAAGCCTTTATTCTCTAAAAAGAGCAACCACCTCTTCTCCCATGGCCCTCTTCACCTCCCACTAGAGTTTAGATAGAAATGAAGAATGAGAATCTCAGTCTATGGCCCAAGCCCAAGCTGCTAAGGTGAGGAGGGTGGGACCAGGGAGAGAAGCTCCCAAAATTTGTGATGACAATGTGGTTACCCTACCCAGCCACTGAAAGAAATCCAACAGATCGAAAGGTTCTGGAAGGAAGGGGTTGATATCAGAGATGTGAAGAAAGAGGAAAGAGAATTGGCTCAATGGCAGAAGCTACTCACTCTATGGCTTGTTGACCCTCAAAATGCTTATAAGAGTGGATCTAATCGTGGGACACGGGGACCGGCTTTAAGCCTGAGGGAGAAGCAGGCACAACACTCCAAGAGAACGAGAGCTGTATCCTAAGAGCAAACACTCAGAATTAAAAATGAAACGAAGATCTTTAAACTTTCACAAGCTGCAGAACTGGCTACAGAATGAACCAGTCAACTCTACCTTGGAGTGGGTAGTGGGTCCCAGGGGACACAGGTATTCTATTATTTAACCATCCTTTTACTCATCAACTCAACTTGGTGACTTTGGAAATTTTACTTCCCCTCTCTGGGCTTCCATTTCCTCAATGAGGAAACAAGGAAGTAAGTCTGAATCAATGATTTTCAGCTGGGACCCCTAGAGTCACGCACGTTCCTGAAAGTATTCATGGTGGAGAGACTGTGGGAACAATTTCCCAAATTTGAAAAAGTCTAATGAAATTGTACGTTTGCTATCCCCACCTCCTGTAAGTCTGCACAGTTTCATTAAAAAACACTTGTATGTGCTCGGCTGAAGCAAGAGCCCCTCAGTATGGAAAGGCAAGTCACCTCATGCTGGCCAGAAGCTCTATTTTTCTAGTCATCTATTATATCTTTGATTAATAAAAACAGAAAATAGAATTATTTTTGTAAATTTTTTTAACCAGCCAAAATATTTTAAAATAGAGAGTCTCTGGAGGAAATTAATAACGGCAGTCCTTTGTGGTTAGAAGCTTCAAAACCACTAAATTAGATGAACTCCAAGTGCCCTCTGAGCCCATAGTTCCTAATTCCAGTATCTGATTCCTCAAATCAGCCAGGGATATTCCCACTTGAGCCCTTTTCTGGGACACGTTCCTGTCCAGAGAGTCTGCACTGTAATTTTCCAGGCAGATTACCAGTCATCTGTGTACTATCAACAGCTCCCATCTTACAACAGGGTTGAGCAGCCACAGAGCTCTGAGTTTCCAGAAGCCTCCTTGACATTCTCTCTGGAGAGGATGGAGGAGACAAAGACCTACGGGAAAATAACACAGCTTGTTTCTTACTCCACAGCACAGGCGTGATGTGCTCAGCCTCTGGAATCTGCCAAACCTCCAAGCTGCGTGACCTTGACACATCGCCTTCTTCGGTATTCTCCTCTGTGACACGGAGAGAATAATCATTCCTTCCAGGTGTCGTTGTCATAAGAAATAGAGGTATGAATACATGTAAAGCACAGAGCAAATACTTAGTAAAACCAGCTTTTCCCTTAGGCATTTGGAAAAATGCTCACCTGAGACCAGATGGTGAGATCACTGCCATCACCATGAGAAACAGCCAGACACACCCTGTGTGCCCATCACTGAACCTGGACTTTCCTTAAAATGTTTTCTGCCTCCCTACCCACCACTTCTGGATAGGAAGAGAAAACGGACCATCCTGGCACTTGGGAAGGACAGAATGGA